CATCCTCACAGATGTCAGTGCTAAAAAATATCAGTTCACAACAGGACTAATATAAAACAATATCATATAAAGCATATAAAATTTGGTCCTGATGTCCAGCATTCAGCCCTTGTGATGCTTCTCATCTTTATTTTAGTTGACCGGATCCGCCAGCATCTGACAGCTTAAAGACTGAATAAGGAACAGATTAGAAATAGACATACACATTTTCATTCTTAGAAAAAAAGCCACATCTGTAGAAATACTCAACAAACAATTACTTGTCCAGACTAAAGAATATGGACACAATATAAACACACATTCACATGCAATCAGTAATTAAAGTACAGAGTTTGAGTTCTTCATTAAAGATCTTCAGCTGCGAAACTAAAGATGCTTCAGAGGCCGGTGATGCTGTGTCAGACTTTTCATGCAGATGTTGTTCATTTGAGTTCTTCCATGTTGGTAGAACAGGGGTTTTTGAGTTGGTTACTCATTGGTTTGGATGTCCGGTTTGAGATCAGACGAATCATGGCCTTTAACGTTTTTCTGTGCAGGTGCAGAAGCTTCTGTGAAATCAAACTCAGCCGACTCAGTTGAATCACCGGTAAAAGAAAACGAAAACCTTCACAACATTCTTTTGAGTAGACTACAAAATTATTTTGGCATTAGTGGAATTTGCATTGGCTTTGTTCAAATCTTACTTATTTGACCGTCATCAATTCGTAGCAGTATGACGAGATATCAAACACTCACAAGTGCAGTATGGAGTGCCACAAGGCTCAGTACTAGGACCGTTGCTTTTCACACTTTACATGTTACCCTTGTGAGATATCATCAAGAAACATGGGGTTAGCTTTCACTGTTATGCTGATGATACTCAGCTCTATATTTCTTCGCGGCCCGATGAAACATACCAATTCACAAAACTAACGGAATGCATAGTTGATATAAAAAACTGGATGACTAGTAATTTCCTACTGCTAAATTCTGAAAAAACTGAGGTTTTCATTATCGGACCTAAAACCTCCACATGTAATAACCAAAAACACTGTCTAACACTTGCTGGCTGCTCTGTTAATTCCTCGTCATCAGTTAGGAACCTAGGTGTGCTATTTGATAGCAATCTTTCCTTTGAAAACCATGTTTCTAGCATTTGTAAAACCGTAATTTCCATCTTAAAAATATATCTAAATTATGACTCTCAATGTCAAATACAGAAACGTTAATTGATGTGTTTATGACCTCAAGGTTAGATTATTGTAACGCTTTATTGGGTGGTTGTTCTGCACGCTTAATAAACAAACTCCAGCGGGTCCAAAATGCAGCAGCTAGAGTTCTTACTAGAACCAGGAAGTATGAGCATATTAGCCCGGTTCTGTCAACACTGCACTGGCTCCCTATTAAACATCCTATAGATTTTAAAATCTTGCTTATTACTTATAAAGCCCTGAATGGTTTAGCTCCTCAGTATTTGAGCGAGCTCATATCGCATTATAGTCCTTCACGTGCGCTGCGATCTCAAAACTCTGGCAGTTTGATAATACCAAGAATATCAAAATCAACTGCAGATCCTTTTCCTATTTAGCTCCCAAACTCTGGAACAATCTACCTAACATTGTTCAGGAGGCAGACACACTCTGTCAGTTTAAATCTAGATTAAAGACCCATCTCTTTAACCTGGCTTACACATAACACACTAAGAGAGATAGGAGGAAAAATATATATTTCGGTGCATTCGCGTGCAAAACCTCTGAATCTCCCCGAGAAACGTTGCGTTTGCTCGCATAATTATTGTGATGGAAAAATGAGGTGGTGGAAAAACCTTTATCCCCGTGTTTTTGCGAGCGAACGCAAAGTTTATTGAGAAAACGCAAGAGTTTTGCAAGCCAACGCGAAGTTTCTTGCTGGAACACAAACGTTTTACGAGCGAGTGAACACGAATGAACGTTTCTCGGAAGAACACAAATGTATTAAAAGAGGATGCAAATGTGTTGTGAGAGAATGCAATGTTTCTCGGGGGAACGCAATAGTTTTTTGAGAGAACGCATGTGTTGCCAATGAACGCAAAGTTTCAGGGGAATGCAAAATATTTGCAAGAGAATGCAAGGTTTATGCAAACAAAAGTTTTGAAAACAAAAGCAAAGCTTCTCGAGGGAACGCAACATTTTTGCGAGAGAGCATTTCTGCAAACCAGAGTTTTGCAAACGAACCAGGGGCGGTCTTACCCATTAGGCAAAGGTAGGCGACCGCCTTGGGCCCCCAAAAGCAAAGGGCCCCCTAAAATGCAACGTTTCTTGAAAGAATGCAATTTTAGGAGTGGACACACATACAAAAAAACCCTCAAAGTCTTGGGGAAACTAATAGCTTATAAATAACACTTTATATGAACTGTATTCAAGCTGAAATATTATAACTGGACCTTAAAGTTAACAAAAGTAAAAAGAAGAGAAAAGAAAAGAAAAAAAACATCTAGGTATCTAAATGACATGTTTTACAAAAAGTGGCCCACTTTACCTGAATTCAGTCTATATTTTGAATGTTTTGATTTTTATTTAAAAATGTGTTAAAGTTTTAGTAATTTTGTAGTGAGTTTTTGTCATTTGTATTAGCTTTGTTATCTGTCTTTATAGTTTTTATTGTTATTATTTATTTTAGTGCTTAATAAAATAATGTACTTTTTTATATTTTATTTCAATGATTTGTTTCTTTCCGTTTTAGTTAACTAAAATGATTCTGACCTTGACAAATCTCCCCGAAAAGGTTAGTTATTTTATTATTAGTTTAAATAAATGTTTATAAAAATTATTTGTAAAAATAAATAAAAAAAGATTTTGAAAAAATCTTATGTCCAATGTCGAGTTACAGCTGATTTACTGTAATAAAAGCAGTAACTATGACAACACACTCACACAATTTACTATAGTGGCGATACTGGGTTACACTGAAACTGCTCTGCATTAATGATCTATTCAGCGTCATGTGATCAAAGATGTAAATCATATAATGTTTAAAGTGAATATGAATGAACACTGAGTCTCACACACCTGTGGTGACTGTGGTTGTGTTCTTCTCCGTCTGTGATCGATGATTTTCACTCATCTCTGCTGATCAGCATCCGAAGATTCAGTGATTCTGTAACCGATGCGACTTCAACACACGCTTCAGACTCGTATCGTTTGAATCGACTCTTTTGATTCGAATCGCTCGAAACATTCCAATGCACACCAGACGAGCGAATCATTCAGCTTGCGCCATGAAATTTGCCACGAAGCAAGAATACGTTTTGTTTTTAATATATTTTATTTATTTTCTGTTAGATGCATGACGAAATAGATTTATTAAGAAGAGATAAAATTCTGATTTTTATTTTTCAAGCCATTAAATCACTGATGTTATGAAACAAATTCAGTATGAATGCGTTAAAATCTCTGATATAGGCTATAATAAGTAGTTTTGCTTTCCCAGTCCCAGTAACCTATTAATATTCTTAATTGTTTCTTTTATGCATAAAACTTTAGATACAGAACTGAAATTGTCTGTGTGATTGGAACACTATTATACAGTTTAGAGACTCATCAACAAAAAGTAAGCAATAGAAACAACACAAGATCGTAATATGATGTATGATCAGATGTTAAACAATCAATAAATGACTCGTCACATCATCATGAATCTTGAGTTTAACAGTGAAGATTGCCAAAGCAGCAAAGAGTCAAATTCCACTTCCAGACAGATCGGACACGATTCCTCTCTTTCGATGTGGACAGGAACAGGTATGATATGGAGTATTTCTCTCGTTTGATTCTGTGGTGAATTGTGCTGAAGGCTGATAATGTCAGTCTAAATGCAGGTCTGAAAGTGGATCTCCAACCTATGAAAATAAATCAAGAGTTCAAGCATATAGTAGATGAAACTCTACATTGTAAGTATGTGTTAGATGATACAAAGACATAAACCGGTAACTATCCTTCATGGCTTCACTGACAGATGAAAAGAAGTTGAAGTGATGAGTGTGTGATAGTGTGGTTTACCGTGAGCCGGATCAGACCCATGAGTCCAGCGGCTGCGGGGTTCGCTCCACTAAACCGACCGCTGGCCTGCTGGTCCTGATGAAATGCCTCTTATCATTCACACCCTGAAACACATTCAACATCATGAAGCCAATAAAGCAGCTCTACCCATTATGTATTATACTGTAATGTTCTTCAGAGAGTCACTCCTACTATGCATTACATTTTATCACCCAAAAATGAAAATTAGCCGAAATCCCCAAACTCAGGTCATCTAAGATGTGAATGAGTTTGTTTCTTCATCAGGTTTGGAGAAATGTAGCATTGCATCAGTGTCTCAGCAATGGATGCTCTGCAGTGAATGGGTGCCGTCAGAATGAGAGTCCAAACAGAGAAAAAGGGCATCTGCTGTTGTCTCTCACATCAAAATCCAGCCACATATGTGTTTAGAGCTGTTTAAACGCTGCTTGATCTGTGCAGATTTCTCTCCTGATTCACACCAGAACACTGACTCACTGGAGGAAGCCTTATTATGGATTATGGACTCTATGTATTTGAGTTAAAACGTCTTAATGCTGGATGTGTTTCAGCTTTTGTCTTCTCCAGATGTTAACTGATGGACTGGAGTGCTGTGGATTATTGTGATGTTTTTATCAGCTCTCATTCTGACGGCACCCATTCACTGCAGAGCACCCATTGCTGAGACACTGATGCAGTGCTACATTTCTCCAAATCTGACGAAGAAACAAACTCATCCTGATCTCGGATGAACTGAGGATGAGCACATTTGCAGCAAATGTTCTTATTTAATTTCCTTGGTATTTGAGCAGCTGTATAGAGTTTAATCTGTTATATGATGCTCTCTTTTATTATTTTAGGTTTTGGATTGTTATTGTAAAGCACTTTGGTCAACTTATGTTGCTTTTAATGATGCTATATGAATACATTTGACATGAATAAAGAGTTTAAAAGTTTCTGGTGAACAGAAATGATACAGCATGACCACTGACCTGAAAAGTTTCTCTTTCGATCATGTGACACGGAGCGTCTCCTGCTCGCTCTGCCTGATCGACAGTGCAGTATCCATCTGTGGAGGAAACAGCAACACACATCACTGCATTAGTGCATAACACACACACACACACACACACACACACATCACTGCATTAGTGCATTAAACCCACGCACACGCATTTAATTCGAACACTCTAAAGCTTGCATAACAAAGAAGGCACAGCGCTTCTGTCATTCTCATCAATGCAAGAGACTCATAAATATGCCACATTCAAGCGGCAGGAATCAGTGACCTTGGTTCTTCTCCATTAAGGGCAGTGTGATGTCATCGTTCCCTTGCTTGGCGTTCTTCTGTTTTTTGGGCAGGCCAGAGACGGCTGGCTGAAACACACAATCAATATTCATCATCAGCACAGCGCTTTCTGAAATTAATTTCATAAGTATGGCTGTGAAACACACATCGATCTGTCCGTCTTTAACTGCTGTTACCTTGAAGTGTGTTTTGTTCCAGCCGGCCTTATACAGAGTGTGTCGCAAATCCTTATAGGTCCAAACCGTCTGCAGGAGGTGTGACGCGGCTTTGGTCTCGCGCACCGATTGGCTGACACATTCACAGATCAACAAGACAGAAAATATCCTGATCAGACCAAAACTACAGCTTTACATCTACTGTTTAGGGTTGTTTCTATGGGAGTAGATTTGTAGATTTTAACATGTTGCTATAGCATAGGGTGTTCTGGGTGGTTGCTATAGGGTTGCTAAGGTGTTCTGAGTGGTTTATACAGAGTGTGTCGCAAATCCTTATAGGCCCAAACCGTCTGCAGGAGGTGTGACGCGGCTTTGGTCTCGCGCACCGATTGGCTGACACATTCACAGATCAACAAGACAGAAAACATCCTGATCAGACCAAAACTACAGCTTTACATCTACTCAGAACGAATGTGTGCGCTGTTGCTATGGGGTTGCTACGGTGCTCTGAGTGGATATTACCACGTTGCTATGGCATAGGGCATTCTGGGTGGTTGTTAAGGTGCTCTGAGTGGATTTTATCATGTTGCTATGGCATAGGGCATTCTGGGTGGTTGCTATGGGGTTGCTAAGGTGTTCTGATTGGATTTTGTCATGTTGCTATGTCATAGGGCATTCTGGGTGGTTGCTATGGGGTTGCTAAGGTGCTTTAACTGCTGTTACCTTGAAGTGTGTTTTGTTCCAGCCGGCCTTATACAGAGTGTGTCGCAAATCCTTATAGGTCCAAACCGTCTGCAGGAGGTGTGACGCGGCTTTGGTCTCGCGCACCGATTGGCTGACACATTCACAGATCAACAAGACAGAAAATATCCTGATCAGACCAAAACTACAGCTTTACATCTACTCAGAACGAATGTGTGCACTGTTGCTATGGGGTTGCTAAGGTGCTCTGAGTGGATATTACCACGTTGCTATGGCATAGGGCATTCTGGGTGGTTGCTATGGGGTTGCTAAGGTGTTCTGAGTGGATATTACCACATTGCTATGGCATGGGGCATTCTGGGTGGTTGCTATGGGGTTGCTAAGGTGCTCTGAGTGGATATTACCACATTGCTAAGGCATAAGGCATTCTGGGTGGTTGTTAAGGTGCTCTGAGTGGATATTATCACATTGCTATGGCATAGGGCATTCTGGGTGGTTGCTATGGGGTTGCTAAGGTGCTCTGAGTGGATATTACCACATTGCTAAGGCATAGGGCATTCTGGGTGGTTGTTAAGGTGCTCTGAGTGGATTTTATCATGTTGCTATGGCATAGGGCATTCTGGGTGGTTGCTATGGGGTTGCTAAGGTGTTCTGATTGGATTTTGTCATGTTGCTATGTCATAGGGCATTCTGGGTGGTTGCTATGGGGTTGCTAAGGTGCTCTGAGTGGATATTACCACATTGCTAAGGCATAAGGCATTCTGGGTGGTTGTTAAGGTGCTCTGAGTGGATATTATCACATTGCTATGGCATAGGGCATTCTGGGTGGTTGCTATGGGGTTGGAAAGGTGTTCTGAGTGGATATTATCACATTGCTATGGCATAGGGTGTTTAGGTTGGTTGCTATAGGGATGCTAAGGTGCTCTGAGTGGATTTTATCACATTGCTATAGGGTGTTTTGGGTGGTTGCTATGGAGTTGCTAAGGTGTTCTGAGTGAATTTTACCACATTGCTATGGCATAGGGTGTTTTGGGTGGTTGCTATGGGAGTTTGTGCTTTGAGCAGATAGTTTGACTAGTTACTCTGAAGAGTAAAACATGCTCAGTCACACTAGAAGTCATCTTAGTTTTGGTTTTAAATGTTTTCTCTTTTTACAGAAAAAATAGGCCTTTTTTTAGGATTTATATATTTGAATTGCTTGTAAAATGTCCATGCATTTAAATTAAATTAATTATTAAAAATAATGTCATCGTTTATAATTAAATATTTGCATCTATTTGGTTTTATTTAAATAATCATATTTTTAAAATGCATTTATTTAAATAGCTTAGAATCAGCATAAATCTGTTCATTGTGAAAACTATTTAAATTGGATTTATTGATGATGAATTTATAAAGCTGGTTACTGTGTATTCAAAACAGATTCAGTTTATTAGTACTATTGTAGAAATCTGACCTGTTTCATTAACAGTATGTATGACTGAAAAATATGGGAATTTTATATGCAATTCAAATACATAAACCTTACATTTTACGGGTTTCTAACATAAAACATGTAAAACCAAAATATTGTTAAAAAAATGTAAGAATTAGTGCAGACAAGCATGAAAAAATAATTAAAATAACAGCACAGCAGTCTCCATGAATGACTGCACAGAAAACACAGAAAGTATTGTGAAAAATGTGTATAGACTTTGTGATCAGAATTTCTTTCCATCCAAAAGTTTTTCAAATCAGAGAACACAGTTCTGCTGGTGAAGATCTAGTTTACTTGCTATGCAGTGCCTTAATAAAATCCAGTGATTATTCTATCCTCAGAAATGCTCAGAATAGACTGTATCAGTCTAGTACATTGCAAACACCTCTGCATTGCATCCATAAACACCTACGCATTGCATAACAGCAACCAATCAGATCAGAGGTCATCTGATTGAGAGCTTTGGGTTTTGTGTGCGACATGCATGAGATGGTCAGTTACAGACAGTCACAGACAGTTACAGACGGTCAGTTGCAGACAGTCAGATACAGATGGTCAGTCGCAGATGGTTAGTCACAGATGGTCAGTTACCGACAGTCAGTCACAGACAGTTACAGATGGTCAGTTACAGATGGACAGTTACAGATCGTCAGTTACAAATGGACAGATACAGATGGTCAGTTGTATACAGTCAGTCACAGACAGTTACAGATCATCAGTCGCAGACGGTCAGTTACAGATGGGCAGTTACAGTCAGTCACAGACTGTCACAGACAGTTACAGATCGTCAGTTACAGATGGACAGTAACAGATGGTCAGTCGCAGACGGTCAGTTACAGATGGGCAGTTACAGTCAGTCACAGACTGTCACAGACAGTTACAGATCGTCAGTTACAGATGGACAGTAACAGATGGTCAGTCGCAGACGGTCAGTTACAGATGGGCAGTTACAGTCAGTCACAGACTGTCACAGACAGTTACAGATCGTCAGTTACAGATGGACAGTAACAGATGGTCAGTCGCAGACGGTCAGTTACAGATGGTCAGTCGCAGACGGTCAGTTACAGATGGACAGTTACAGACAGTCACAGACAGTTACAGATGGTCAGTTGCAGACAGTCAGTCACAGACTGTCACAGACAGTTACAGATCGTCAGTTACAGATGGACAGTAACAGATGGTCAGTCGCAGACGGTCAGTTACAGATGGACAGTTACAGATGGTCAGTTGCAGACGGTCAGTTACAGATGGTCAGTTACAGATAGTCAGTCACAGATGGTCAGTTACAGATGGTCAGTCGCAGACGGTCAGTTACAGATGGACAGTTACAGACAGTCACAGACAGTTACAGATGGTCAGTCG